AAGATTATATGTATTATATTCAATTATGTATTATTACTTTATTTATTTATATAGGAAAATTATCTATATAAGGAAGCTCTTTTTCCTTTGGGAAATAACAGAGTTGTCTGGTTTCTCTCATATTTAATAAAGTTTTTCTTTATTAATCCTAATATTATAATGTCCCCACACATTAAATGTTACAATATATTTTTATTTTAATTATTCAGCTGGACCTTGCCATAGTGTGCTTTATTATTTAGAATCATATATGTATTTTGTATATTATAAAAAATGTTATCTATGATCTAACTAGAATATTGCATAACTATATTGATCTTACTCCATATCAGCTTGTTGCTGTCAGCTTACCCTATAAGGGATAAGTGTCAAGGCTAATGTACCAAAGTCTCGTTAGTGTTGCAAATTATGCTAATTCATTCTATTTGGGTTTTTGTATAGGATTTAAGGGAAAGTTGAAATGTAGTATACTGGAGTGATACCTGTTTTGAGTAAATAGAATCCTATTTGAAGTGATTTTCTATATTCTATACTATACCAACTCCTAAGCCATCCAAACAGTCAAGAACTTATACTGACTAACTGTCCACAACATCAGTCTAACTGTAGCTACTCAACTTAAAGAGACAACTGTCAGAGCAGTCTTGAAAAAAATCTTCATGATTACTTTTATAGGAAAAGACATCCCAGATACTATAAAGAAGAATTACCAAACCATTGTTACTTGAAACCAGACTCCTTCTTTACTTTTTTTGAACTATCTTCCAATAATTATCATAGCACCAACTGGACAATCGTCATATCACGACTCTTTTTATAGTTAGGTTACAATCTCACGCCCACTGGATCAACGTATAAATTGGCTTCTTATGAGAAACAACACTTAATAGATTATGATACCAGATACTATTTTTAATCCAGTTCAACTGCCTCCACATGGGATTAAACTGGTATCTTGTAATCTGACCTGTGGAGTGCTAACTAGTGCACTATTGACCCACAGGTCCATAAATATATATAAATATAAATAAATATAAAAAAATATAAATAATTAAATCAATATAAACAAATATTTATGACACATGCATGAAAATATTATTTGTTAATTTGTATACAGAACAAAATAATATTGTATATATTTTTATCTAGAATTATATTAATTTTACAAAAGTTATAACTTATGATATGATTAGAAAAGTGATTAGTCTAAAAAAACACAAGATTTTTGTTATATATGGAGAATTAAAATCAATAATAAAAAGCATTTATATAAACTATTATGAAAATATTCTAGATTTTTTTTATTAAATATTTTATAAAATTTTTTGTTTAAAACAGAATCTTGGTAAATGCCAGAAACTATAATATTGTTTTTAATTTTTACTAATTTAGCCGTTTGATATATTAATGTTTTTATCAGTGAAACATAATGTCAGTAAAAAAAAAAAGAACTCTATAGTCTATATAATTATAGATATGACTAATAAAGAAAATTCCTCATATTGGTCACGTAATCTGAGTTTACGAAATTTATTCATTAGTGTCTGAGAACATTAAAAAATGGATAAGTGAGGTATAAAATGAAAATCACATTTAATTACCCTCCTTCCATCCTTAATGAATCTTAACACACATATACTTATAGCATTAACAAGATCTATAATAAAATACAAAAATACAAAAATACTATCGAACATTAGTAAAAAACGGCCTGGTCTCGATAGGTCTGATGTGAGAATATATACTGTTGTGGAGGTGTAACAGCGAGTCAGTCGCTCAGAATGACAAGATTTCGCGTAACCGCGGATAGGGTGAGTAGTATATAAGGTGAAGGAGGCGTGTTTTGATTTGGTCGAGTAATTGTAATTTATTGTTATAACGGATCTTGTTTCTTTTATTAACGTTTGTCTTTTCCTTTTTATACATCTCTTTTTATTTACAGAGGCTAGTGCGGCTATACTTTAAGAACAATGATTAAGCTAAGTCTATATTACATAAGTTTCTTTTTCACAATCCCTTCTTTCTTTTCCCCGCATTAGATAATTGTGCACCGCCAACCAAGAACAGGTTCCTCGCGGTACCTCTCGCGACGATCAGTCACGTGATGTGCGTCGCGTCTCAACTTACCCCTTACACTGTATGTACTGTATATACATAAAGAGCGTATATAGCTAGGTTAGGTTAGTCTATGATGTAAGAATTGTGCGCCACACGTTGGCAAGAACGATCACGCGTAAATTCGGATTGTACCTTTATTGATTTTTTTGAAAATAAAAAAGTAGAGCAACCTATATATTTTCGAATAAAAAGTTGTAATACTACTATAATACATGAGTTGCTTTTGTTAATATCTATTATGCAGTTTTTTTTCTTTTAAATTATTTTATTTTACAAATGCTCATAAATAATAAAGTGTCTAGACACCATTTTCATCTTGCAAACTTTTCAATTGTTTCAGCTCCTCTTCGAGTTGCTTCACTCTCATAGTCTGCCAAATGTTTCCTTCCTTGTTGCCCCCTATATTAATATTCAACAATTCCTTTATACCTTCTTGCATCATCAATCTCAATATCCTCCCTTCATCCTGGATATTTTCCAACAATTTTTCCATCTCCTTAATTTTATCCTCGACTTGCGCCACTTCGCCCTGTTTTATGTTCAGTTCAACTTTCAATTCTGCGACCTCTGCTTCATATTTAATTTTCTTATTTCTTAGTTTTTTCAATAATTTTTCTAATCTATCGTGCCTCTCGTTCGTGACGTTTATTGAGGTATTAATTTGCTCAAATATTATGTGATATCGTTCAAGGGACTCTTTTAGATGTGATACCTGTACTCTGGAATCTTCCTTGTGTTTTTGTAATTCCGAGTCCATTTTTGACAATCGATTGTTGCTGTCTTCCAATTGAGCTTCAGAATTCACCACGCGTGCCCTTAATTTTTCCAACTCCGGAAGCACTTGTTCTCGAGATTCATTGGACGTTTCCGTTCGCACGTTTTCAAAATTTTCGCGTTCTTGGTACGATTGCGCTTTCGTTCTTTCCTTTTCAGTTTTCTTGTAATACCTGAGTAACTGATTTGATAGTAATTTGTTCTCTTTGAGTACTTGAGCTAATTGAGACTCGAGTTTCTTGATTTTTTCTGATTCTTGAGAACTGGTTTCCAGTCCAGGGGATTCAAATTCATCATGTTTACCCTTGTGCGAGGATTCAAACTCGTCAAGCTTGCTTTTGTAAAGTGCGGCCTCTTCTAGTGCGGCCGTTCTTTCCTTTTCGGCGGCCATCACCTTTTCCGATGCAACTAGTTCTTGCGTCTTAATAACCTCCTAAAATAAACGAAATATATATGGTGAATTTAATGATACACCGGGAATATTAAAAATTTACCAATTCTGACCTTCGCTTTCGCCAATTCCTGTTTCATATTAACAATTGACTGCATTACTCTATACTTTTCGCTTCCTGGTTCTCCGAAATTGGTCATCATCACTTCGAGATCGACATCGTCGCTATAACTTAGATCAACCACATAACCTAATTTCTTGGCCAAATCCAATTCAGCGTTGAGCCATGTTTCCCGTCGTTTGTATTCCTCAATATCCTGATCATATTTTTTCAGTTCCATAACATGTTCTTCTTTTTCGTCAACTCTGGAATCATCCACATTCAATTCGGGAGAGCTTGTGCCCGACTCCGGAAATGACATAAAGCTCTCTTTATCAGGTGTCGATACCGATGGAACAAGAGGCGATTGTATTGTGAGTCGGTTCATCAACAATGACACATCATAGTCATGTTCGCCTCTTTTTGACAATGAGTAATTTTCAAGGTTGCCGGGAAGAGATAAATGTTTAACTCGACCAATGCCAGGCCGGTCCAATGTAGACGGACTTACTATGTGTGAAGTGACATGCGTGCTTTGTTCGAGAGTTTCATCCTCGCGAATATCTTGTAATGGTGAAACTTGATGGTCATGGGGTTGTTCATCGTCGAGATTGTCTTGGGCGGGTATATCCGCGTTAGATTGAGCATCGACTTCCTCCGAATCTGATCGCAAGTTCGAACCTTCCACGTGAATTTCTGTCTCATTAGGCGTCTCATTTTCTTGAAATTCCTCCTCATGGGAATATTCTTCTTCTGAGCTTGAGTATTCAGATTCTTCTTCCGAGTCGGCGTTTTCTGAATCCTCTGTTTCCTCATTTATCGTATCTAACTGAGTTTTGGTTTCCACGATATCAATATTAACAGATTCAATTTCTGGCGGGCGTGACATCACCAAATGATCTTTTTTTCCTAAATCTAACATCGACACATTATCCTCATCCACCGAAAATATTTTTGATATAGCCTGAGGTATATTCGTGGAAGCATTTTCGTCTCGTAGTTCAAGAGGCGGTGATATTTTAATCCTTTCATCGGTATCTTGATCGGAATCAGTTGACGTACTTCGAAGACTAGGATCTGTGGGCATATGCTTTTTTAGGTCTCCAATTGATGGTACCTTGATCACAAGATTGGGTTTCATTTTTCCACGAGATTCGGAAGGTGGTTGTTGATAAGAGGACACAAGCTGTTCGTTATTTTCCTCCGATTCTGATTGTGGTGCTAATACCAAAATTTTAGGTATTGTTGAAGGCTCGTCTTGAAAAATTTCAGACCTCGATGAGTCGATCGACTGTCTCAGTGAAGAGGAATCTCGACGTGTCATCGTTGGCATACCAGGTAGGGTACCAGGTGGGAATTTTATTTTGGCTTAATGAAACAAAACAAGCAAGAAAAAAATAAGCTACGAAAAAGCAGTAAATAAAACATAATAAATCTCTAATAATTACCGGTGTCTAGTATATGAATGTCACCTTCCGAATCTGGCTTCGGCGATTGTTTGGAATCCCCACCAAAGACAAAAATTTTGTCATTTACTGCAGACATGGATAACCCATACCTGGCACTGGGAGAAGGTCCCATTTGTGGAAACCTGTACCATCTTTGATCTAACAAAATATTCACATGAAGTAAACATCTCGCGATGACTTTGGTTGGACCAAAAAGAAAAAAGTAATGATAAATGTGAAACACATACTGGCAATCCTAAATGCTACCAAATCATTTAGCTCTTCACCCTTCTGTGTTATCCCGCCAAAAATGTAGATAACGCCATCAACAATTACACCAGCATGCCTTTCTCGAGGAACAGGAAAAAATCCAATGCATGACAAATTCGACCATGTTTTTGTCTTTTCTTCATAGCACCACATGTCATTGTAGCATTTATGACCATCGGTTCCTCCAAAACTAGATACATTTTTTAAAAAAGAACTTCAGAAACTATTGCTTGCCTAAAAGGAGAGTTCATAAAGCTCTGGAACTTACACATAGATTTTATTCTCATAGGAACAAGCAGTGTGTCCACTTCGAACCGGAGGATGTTCACCTTTTGTATTAACAACACTCCAACAAGGTGCCACTGAGTTTGCTATTTAAAATAAGGATGGTTTGCTCAATTTGGATCTTATGCTAAAATTGATATCACAAGAAAAAAAAACTGACCTCGGCTTCTTCCCAAAGAAAATTTGTTAAATTTACTCTTTTTTCTTTGTAACTTTAGAGCCTTCAGATCGAGGCAGATCAGATCATTATAATATTTTCCAAATTTTTGCCCTCCAAATATATAAAGCACGGATCCAATGGTTGTGGCAGTATGACCGATTAGACCGTTAGGAGCGTTACCGTTTACAATGGGCTTACTCCAAGTTTTGGATTCTGTTTTAAAAAGAAGAAATTAATTTTTGTCTTTGTTTTTTTAAAAACACGTGACCTCATAAATTGAAATACCGGTGTCAAGGATGTATATGCCCTCGTCCAATTTATCTTCAACCTTTTCGGATGCGCCACCGAAAACTAAAAGGATAATCATCTTATTGTTAATTGTAAAAGAAGAATAGATCATTGAATGGAATGTAAACTTACCGACTAGGTTATTTTCGTAAACTAATTGCGTATGACGACATCTTTTACCAGGAACCTCTCCTGAAGTCATTATATGCGTGATATTCATTGTATCTGGTTTCATTGAGATCATTTTAATTAGCAAATGAGCATGAAATCCGAAATCCCATTGATTTTTACTGCTGATACATACTGACTTCTACGGCATACAAATCATTGATGGTTTTCCCTTGAGTCAATCCTCCAAAAATAAATAATTCATCGCGAACGGCATGATCACTCACAGAGAGGCCGTACAGAGGGAAAGGATTAAAAGAAATCAAATTTTTCTGAGACCAAGGATACGATCGACTGGTGGACTTTGGTTTTGATGTTGTGCTCATAATTGATAATGCTCAAAACATAAAGTCATGTATATACAAATTTAATATCAAAAAGAGAATTATAAAGGAAAAGAAAAAAGAAGCTAAGGAACGTTTGTGTCGCAGAAAATGTGTTTAATGTAATTTTCCTGAAAATTATGTAATTACCATCGATCCAGCGTTGGTAAGTCAAAGTTGACTAGTGAAAAATGGTACAGAGAACGAATGAGAGAATCCATTTATATTCTCAAATTTCCTAAAGAACTTTAGCTTTTGGGCACAGAATGCACTTCAATGTACCAATCATGTATTCGGTGCTACTTCATTGAAACGTAAATGTTCTTCTGTGCTTAATTTGGTTGCATAATCGTTTATCATCGAATGTCTAGAATTCACTGTTATCCAAATATGAACAATGTCGATATAATAATTGTTTGTTACCTTTTGCCATGGCGAAGGAACAGGGTCACGTGTTTTAATACATACATCCCTTTTTGACATTGGAATTTTCGGACACGAGCGAATTTTGTTTGCTTACGTATATCAGACTCTAAAAATGAATATATAATGAATTCAAAATTGTGATTTTGTGTATCAACAAAGATGATAGAATAAGAAGTTTATTGAAGGAAAAAAAATTTATATTATGTTTCGGCGATGAGGACAAAGAACAAATGAATTTTTCTTTATCATTAATAAACAAATGAATTTCTATTAAACCCGCCTCACGATAATCATTTTTTTTTTTACTGATTAACCGTTAACTTTTTTTTTTCATTCATTCAAAAAAAAAACATAACACTGTATCCCCAACTATTATTGCCAAAAAGAACTAATAAAATTTCCAATGAATTTATTATATTCATTATTCAAATGCAATAGAAAACATATACTGTACATACATATATTTATTCATTTATTATATTAAAAAGTCGAAAAAAATGATACAGTATACAGTAATGCATATAACAACATGCAGATACTCTTGAAAATTTGAATCCAATATGAATAAATAAAGCTAGTCTTTACTATGCATGTCGTATCTCACATAGGTTTAAGTCCCAAAGTCAGACCAAAACCCGAAATATCTGAGCAAGATATTTCTGACACCATTCGCGTCCCGATCCGTTTCCACCTCATTTAAACGGTTTTGATCCACCGAGAGCATTTTTTACGAATCCACAATTCCCGCATGTCTTTGATGTATGCTCTTTGATGCATTCAATGGCCTTGCAATCCCTGAACTCTCGATTTATGATATAAGAACATTCGAAACATGAAATGCAACCAATTTAGCATCACACGAACAGTCTTTGACCGAATCCTTCGCTTGTTCTTCAAAACCATCCTCAAGACTCGAACTTGGGTAAAAGAATAATCTCATGATTTTTATATAACCAACGAGCCAGCCAATTATGGCACCCATTAAATTACAGATTCGTTGTATGATTCATACCATTTTTTTTTCTCAATTGGAATCTCTTTCTTTTGTTTTGCCGCTCTGTAATTTGGCATATTTCTTAGATGATTTAAATATTCTATTAAAATCACTGCTACCTCGCTCGATTAATTGACCATCAGGGTTGTTATAACAGGTCATAAACGTGCGAACACCTGGATCGAGCGAGATTGCTTTTCTCCGAATATCAGCTTGTTTATCGATTCAAAAAACGGAAACACACAAGTAAAAATGTCCCAGATTATTTATACTGTAGTTATGTTAACTGTATTATGAGGTGATATTATTTTTCAGGAACGTGTATTTCCCTCTGTTCTTATTCCGATACTAGAAAGAATAGAGTTGGTTTGTGTTCGATCCTCTTTTACCCAGAGGAGTTCTTCATGTATGGCTTTCGTATAACGCTCATGTCGGTAATTTCGTCCTGCACCATCTTAAGATAGTAATGATTGATAATATCCAAATTCAGCGTCATTAACGTTGACGTCCGAACCGAGTATTACGATCTTTTGCCAAGAATCCATTCGATAAGCTCGTACACAAATATGAAGAGCCGATTCTTTCTGGTAACCACAACCTTGTCGATATCTCCTCGAAATGGTTGTGAAGAACTTGCGTTTTCAGTTGAGACCTGACCTGATGCCTGAGACGCTCACATTGCCTGTCAAGGTCTTCTTTTTGTTTCCCTAAGCTGACCCTTACGTGGTGGAACTTTTTCTTTTCATTTATCCTTGCTTGATAAAATTTTATGTTTTTCTAATCATTTGTGTTTCATAATAATTTGTTGTTGACATCATCTTGCTCAAATATACGAAATAGTACTTTATAAAGAATATTGAATATTGAATCATCGACGAATAGTGTAATAATGATAATTCAAAATTCTGTGCTCAATAATCAGGTAATAGAAAATAATCACACCATTATTAAAAATAACAATCAGTAAAATAAATATCAAAGTATAGATTTAATCATTGATATTATATTTTTTTTTACATACCATATACTATAAATGATAATGTATGAAAATATTATTTTGTTATTGAAAAACAATCAAAAAAAAAGATTTTGAAAAATAAATTCAAAGATATACCGTATACGATTTTATGTCTTTAATAATACTGTACAATAAATTATACAATATAATTCATACTTCTTATTGTATAATTCTTTGATATAATGTAAATTATTGTTCGATACAATAATTAAGTTATCGTTGGAAATAAAATTTTGTTCAATCAGGTATCTTACCATCTTCGGTTTTTTAAAAATGAATTTAAAATTGATGTGATCTTGATCATACTGTATATTTCCTATTGACTCTATTCCTTTATAAACAAACTATAAATTAAATTATATTTACAAAAAATTTTGTTAGCTATATTGAAATTGATTATTAAAAAAATTTTTTTAAATTAAATAAAAAAAGAAAATACTGTACGGCAAAAATTTTATTTTAAAAAGAATCAAAACAAATATATATATAGCATATTAATTTGAAAAATATAGTATTGACAAACTTTTAGATTTGAAAATGTTAACAAAATTATTAAATTTAAATAATAATATGAATTACTGTATATAAAATATCATGTTATAAACAAATAAAATTTTTTTTATTTTTAAAATACTTTTTTTTTCTTTTACTTTTTTTAAAAAAATCAAATATGATGAGGTAATAAAAATATGTAATAAAATAAATATAAAACTATTAATTTTATAAATTTTATTAATTAAAACTAATATATTATATATATTTTTATAAAACAATATAAAAACAAAAAAATTTTATTAAAAATATATAATGTATAATTAAATCTAAATATAATAAACTTGTTTATAATGAATTATAATAAAATATTGGTTATAATAAATTTTTAAACAATTTTTTTTAAATTTTACTAATTAATCCTATATTCAAGTTTGATTATATATACTATATATAGTGGTATCTAAAATTTTTTGGAAATTTTTTTTAAAAAATTAAAAATTATATTATTATTTAATAAATATTAATTTAAAAAATATAAAAAAATTAAATATAAATTTTTTAATATCAATAAACAATCTCAATTAAAATATCTTTATATTAATTAATAATATTATTTAAATATTATATTATTTTTATATTTAATTATTATAAAAAAACATATATAAACATATATATATATAAACTTGATTTTTATAAAAGATAAATTATAAAATCAATATACAATATAAAATTTTTAATTAAAAATAATTATTTAAAATAATAATAATAATATAAACTATAAACTAGTTATAAATAAAAATAATTTTATAATATTTATATATTTATATTTAAATTTTTATTTAATTTAAATAAGTTTTTATTGAGTTAAATATATTAAAAAATTTTTTAAATAATTTTGAATACCATTGTATATATTAACATTTTTTTAATTTAAGTAGATATTTATAATTACTTAATATTATTATTAATAGTTGTAAATAAATTAATATTTAATCTAATTTATATTAATAATTTTCAAAATCATAATAAATAAAAATTTTTAAAATAAATTATAAAAACAATAATAATAAAATTATAAATAATTGAAAATTTTTGAAAAGTTTAAAAAAAAGATAACAAATATAAAAATTGATAATATTAATTCATGTTTTAAATTTAAAACTTTGAATTTATTATTTATTGTTATATAAAAAATTAATTTATATTATTAATAATAATTTGCTAATATTATTAATAAAAATTTGATTTATAAAGAAATATATAATAAATAAAATAATCTATAGAAATTATTGATAGCAAACTAATAAAACAAATTAAATTTTTATTTTATTTTATTGAATATATAATATTTATATTGATTTGAACCAATTTCAAATATATAATTTATATAATATCTATAAATAATAAAAAAACATAATATAATATAGCATTAACAATTATATTAAAGCAAACTTGGATTATACAAAAACAATAAATAATACTAATCTATTAAATTATATTATTAAAAAATTATTTATCACTTAAATTTTTCATTGCCAATACAAAAATAATAAGTTTGAAAATAATTTCCAAATACAAATAAAAAGTAAAATATTAAAGTAATAAGTAAATGTTAAAGATATTAACAGTTTCTTTTTTTATAAATTCTTTAAATATAATGCAACTTTTAAAGTAATTATTTATATTTAATACATAGAAGTATGTTTTTTTAAACTTTCTTGAAGAAAGATTTAAAAATACCACTTTTAAATTATAGTTCAAGTAATTTTGCTTGATATCTTGTTTTAGATTAATAAATCATAAAGTTTTTAAATATATTTTGTAGAAGTAGTAAAAAAAAAAAATCAATATCATTAATTAAAAAATATAACTATAAAGCAAAAGTAGTTGTTCAATTAAAATTTTTTCTTTAAGGCTTAACTCTATGAATTATTATAGATATCATGGTGTGAGTAGCATTTTGACTACTGTGGAAGAATTTGTTTTAATCAAAAATAAGTTATAGGTAAAATTTTATATGTGCTAAAAAATTTCTAAAATATTTAATGTAAGTAAAATTGGGATTATTAA